TACGTGCTAATTTTATTTTAATCAACTATTTTCGTAAATAAGTCAAATGTTTTGTTTCGCGAATTTTTAAGTTGTGGCAAAATATAATGCGCATGGTAAGTTGATAGTATTTTATCATTGAAATATCATATTAAGGAGTTATTTCTTTACATATTTAACAATTGTTTCATTATAATGATATATGAAAACTTTTTACAGTATATACTGTATTCTGTAAAAGTAAATTTCCATTCCATATTTCCATGTATGGGTGAGTACCACATAAATTTTGATGTTCCCATTTTGGAACTTTAAAGAATTTTGACTTGAAACAGTGTAACGAAAGTATGAGTTTGACAAGATTGAGGACTGCTTTTGAAAATTTACAATATTTAGTATGGGATGAAAACCAAAGAATGTCTAAAATGTGTATCAACCTAAAGACGTGCAGTCAAGTAAATATATTCTTTTTCAGAAAATAAAACAGAGTAGTTGTGTTGTTTGGTACAAGCCATTCTAAATCGAAATATACGTGTCGTGCAAATATAGTGAATATTTGAAACTTTGCTCTGGTCATATACAATATGCGTCAGGTTTATGAGTAATATTACAACTGATCAGGAAAATAAATATTGTTCTTGAGCAAAACCAACATAAAATCGAAACGAAACGGACTTCAAGAGAAACTTCATCCTAAGTTATTGCAGGACGCAGGAAAAGTTCAGATTATTCAGTATCTTTAACTTTCAAACAATAAGTAAAAATAAACAATTAAATATTAAATATTTAAAGAACTGGATCAAAATTATTGTTTATGGTTAAAGTAAACACATTTTGGCACAATCTTCACAACGCCGCAATATTTTAATGTTAAAATATGCCTTTATAGAATCCGAATAACTTCCAGATGAGTTTAATATACACGAATATCTCGGATGCTGATTAAAAATAATGGTTACTCTATAACTAATGCAGTTTTACATCAGTTGCTAATTGCTGCTTTACAGACTTCTGATCTGTAAGCTGTTTTGCGAAAGAATAATCTTACTGTAATCAGCAGTGTCTCCCAGATTATCACAATGAACAATTCTAGTAGATCTAATAAGAAGTTAGAGAAAGTTCAATTAGCCTGATAAGGCGAACATAACCATCATCTTCTGTGGGTCTGTCTGCAAGTCTTGTAGCTGATGAGAAGCAAACACATTGTTGTGTTGAAGACATAACTAATATGTTGGCCATACACGCAAAATTCCAAATCACTGATACACAGATGATGCTTTTGATACCAAATGGTTTTTCGTGATCCATTAGAAGTTTTACCGTAAATTCTAAATGAGCTTTTGTTGAACCAATCAACTGTTATATAATTATTTCTATCAGGTTTGCTGATCGAAAGAATGATATAACATGGTTGTCTGTTAATGGCTGGAGACGGTTTGAATGGGTAATGAAGAAAAACTTTAATACAACAGCAAATGTACAACGTTTCGACAAGGTTTTGTCATCATCAGGTACCAATGCTGTTGTATTAAAGTTTTTCTTCATTACCCATTCAAGCCGTCTCCAGCCATTATTAGTCTCAAAGTGGGTTCCTCGTCATCGAATTTGAATGGTTGTCTGTTATTGTAAATGGCATTGTATGAAACATATTATGGAAATGTTACTTTTTTTTCTTATGTATAACTTATTGTATTTCTCTCATCCATTTTGAATGATAATGTAACCACTATAAACTTTACTTATTTACTTGTTTCATACTTTTAAGTAATGCTACACAAGGGCTGTCTGGGCATATACCTTTCCCTAAGTTCGAACTGATAAATTAAAGGAAAAGCACCTATTCAACAGCACCTACCGCCGCCAACTTTTAGGTTACTTTTGTCTGATCGAATATTAGAATTTAACTGTCATTCTAATAACCCATCCTTAGGCCCAAAGTGCGGAGCGCATTGTTGCAGCAACGAGACACAAATAATGAATTCTCAAATTCACAGTTCGGGCACTCTTAGCGTTAAGCCACGCCTGACAAGACGTCATATGCATAAGACGTTAAAATTTTAAATTGTTGAGCTTGTCGTATTCCAGTCAGCCTGATGAGCCATGGTATTGGGCGACATCTTCGGCACTGGATATGTTTGAAATGTTTTTACATATTCCCCTTTGCTTTCACTCACGGGTTCTTAGAATTACCAAAATAAAACCAAAACATTTTGTAATTTTCACTCTCATAACAGTTTCTTGACTATTTTAAAAGTATGAAATACTCACGAAATAATTTTGAGAGTGGAAACTACAAAAGATGTTGGTTTTACTTTGATCGAATTATTCAATATAAACACATGAGTAAATTGAATATAAATACATTTCATGGTTTGGATAAAAATAATATCAGTAAATTTTAACAAATAATGAGAAAAGTGGCTGTACACCAGTGCATATTTATCATATTATCTAAAAATAAGTTCAATAAATAGTAATTTTTAAGAACATTTAGCTATAATTTTTTTGTAATGTTATGCCTCTACTCTTAGGATCACCATAGCCAGCTACAGTCGCCATGGTTCAAAGGACTGGTTATCTAAATGAACTTCTCCTGAGACTGAAACTCTGAAACAGTTGGAATAAAAGCATTATCTCACAAGAACAAATAATTATTTATTTACAGGAAAACACAAAAACACTAAACAAGTACCGAAGCGAAGGAAGGAGACAAGGTACAGCCGTATAGGAGCAAGACACGGCTTCAAATTGACTCTTAAAGTAACTTTCTCTGAGCAGCAACGAACTTGAAGAGAAAGCACTTTGTTCACATAATTTAACAAGAGACATTGAGATGTGTTCTACTCAGGTTGACTCTAACCCATAAAGAGCTTCAACTGTAGCTAAAAAATACAACGCAACCTAATATATTGACTGTGTTGAACCGATAAATAATAACTTAAGCTACTAAAATAACGGATAAATATTAACTAAACGAACAGCAATACACTAGCGAATAGCCAATAAAAGATGAGCTACTATTCCTTTTCCTGTTTTATACAATAAGATAAAATACACTAGCACACCTGCTCATTGTGAGTTAAGAGAGTATAGACAACAAGTGTCCTTCCTATAAAAATTATAGGCAACTCTTTACTGCTAGATTTAATCTTTTCACTCTGTAATTAAGACAATAAAAGCTCGAATGAATACTTCACAGTTTTGCTTCCTAAGTACGTGCTCGTCCAGACAGTGCGATATGATGAACCAATGACGACACATACCTATTACAGTGTCAAATTCTAAACACCGTTATAATCAAAGGGATATTCAAATTTGTGACTGTTTTATCATTCTCAAGTTTTTACTAGTATGTGATAAACTAGAAAATAAAATCGCATAGCTGTGCAATATGGCGAGTGATTTATTAAAATAAATGCTTAATAGTTAGTCATCTTACTCCTAAGCTTTGACTTTTGACAAACCGGTCAAGCATACATTTATATATATACATACATATTTCTATTTGTTGCCCATAAATTTTCCCATTTCACTTCACAGAGCTCGAATATTCGTTTAGTTGGTAATGAATAATATCCAAACTTATTCTAATGAGATAAAACAGTGCAAATATTGACAATTTTTCTAAGTGGATTATCTTTTCAGTAAGATCATATCAAATATTTTTTTAGATGTATACAATAGAAATATTTGAATAGTTGTGCACTTTACAAAATTAAGAAATGCATTTTTATAACTGTCGCGTTTGAAAATTCTCTGCTTTGATCTAGAAATCTTTTTTGTATTATTGAGGACACTATTAATGCATATTTTAAATCAAAAGTCCAGTATGTCCTTTTTATGGATACTGCTGCAACTAAAGCTTCGTCTTTTTGTTTTTTAATTACTTGTTTGCTGTTAAGCACAGAGCTAGACAATGGGCTATTTGTGATGTGCCCATCACAGGTATCGAAACCCGATTTGTAGCGTTATAAGCCTACAAACTTATCGCTGAGCTACTGGGGGAGGGCATTTTCACAAAGTATCTGTAACACGAGACACTCTCTGATGTCTCCAATCCTTCTGTTGTTTAAAATGTGGAAAATCTCAGCATGCTCTTTTGTGTGAACTCTATCATAAATCTGTAATCTGAATACTTTTTCTCAAGCCTTCAGTGTTTCACAGTAAGAAAGGAAATATCAGATATAAAGCCCCTATCGTGTATACTTAAATTAAAAATCAATATCATATAAATATCACGTGATCTAATCGCTGTGCCTGGTCACAGAAACTTCATGTTTCTAGACATAATTTTTTTTACGTTTTCTATCAAAGCCTGGCAACCAATTTCGATTACTTTTTGTGGAATATATGTCAATACGTGGTTAAAATGGTGAGAAAGTTCCCTTCGTGGAAACCCTAGAAATACCTACGTTTTGACAATTAGTTATAGATACACATGCTGGACAGAAATTTTCGTCTAGGTGGTAAGCGTCAGTAAGAATATTTTTTTCTTTTACATATACCTGATTACACCGGAGGAACGTAACATCTTACACAAGCAGGGAGGGAAAGAGCAATAATTTCTGTTTGTTCATAAATAATGATTAATGCAAACTATGTGTAGGTTACTGGATAATTATACTCTAAACTTTAAATACAACTATGATCTTAGACAGATATATTACTGTTCACTATGTAAGGATATACTATAGATCTGTCATGTTTTAAATATTTTAGATATGGTTATATCCAAAGATAACTTGAACACACTCACAGTTTTTTTTTTTTTGGCAAGTATGTTTATTAAATTCACGATTTCTTCTCTTGTGCAGTACTATATTCTACTTGTTGCTTTGTGGATGAATGAGTTTGGAAATCCACGTCATGGCTTTGTTATGTGTGTTGTTTTGTATTTACGTGGAAACTATTTTTGAAAGAAACAGAAACTAAAAAAAATGTAAGTTTGTTATTAATGGAAAATTTATTCAATGGAATATCTTTGCTGTGACCACAGCAGGGATCGAAACCTGAATACTTACATGATAAGCTTTCAGTCTCATCGCCGAGCCGCCGGGAGTGGAGGCAACATTACAGGATTTTGAAGCTGCAGTGGAGACGCTATCATACAATATGGACACAGAATCAATAGAAGGCATGGGAAAACCTTGATGAAATGGTCTTAATCACAGATATATGTGCTAGTTAAGTAGCTCTTACAAGTGCAATAGAAAAATAACAAGGGGCCATTGTATAGTAACAATGATGGTATAATATCCAGTACAAACATGCTAATAACTGGGCCATATTTCATCAGTGATTGTATTAACAAGAATTCCTTCTTATGATAAAGTAACCTATAACTTTAAAGGGTATACATCTTTTGTAACCGCACATCTGTAATATAATGGTCACTACACGTGTTTGATTTGTCTTAGCTTTAAGTCCTCAGTTGTATTTCTTTGAAATGTGTCATGTAATATTACGCAATATTCGAATATTCCTCATGACTAGCTTACAGAGTAATTGCGTTTGTTGTGAATAACTTAACATAATTCAGTTCGAAATGGAAGGATAACATTTAAATACAGCTATTATGGATTTTATCATTGTATTTCTCCGAAGTGGTTATTTCGTTTCAATGAAATTTGAGATGAAAGTTTTTTCACACCATACATACATGCGCCTGTTGATAATAGAAAGGCCTAAAGTAGTTTCAATACTACATATATAAAGAGAATTTCGAAGAATCTTTTTGTCTTTCATCGTCCAGTCTAATTGACAAGTTCTTTGAGCTTGAATTCGAAATGGACAAATTAAGATGAATATGGAAAAACAAACGTCCAGTTAAAGCGGTTTGTATTACAAACTTCAAGCCTAAAGCGTAATTTAATTTCTTGCTGGTACATTTCAAAAGTTCCTGAACTACCTCTTAGTATGGAACTTAAGTACGTCTTTCCAACGTATTCAGAAATCAGAAATACTTTTCAAATTACATTCGTTATCACGCATCAAAATATCTTCAAAGAACTAAGAAAATCCAGTTTCACAGAAAAGAATGCTTAGATGATACGAAGGAAATATGTATTTTTCGTCATAAACACAAAATTTTATAATCCGACACAAGACCCGAACCTGAGACAAATAGGTACAAAATTGGCATTTCTTCGTGATTTCATTGCTGTTTAGAATACACGATCATGTGTCAAATAAAAATATTATAAATAACAAATGATAGAAAAAATTTTCAAATAGTATAAAACAACAAACATTTTGATAATTATTATGTTTTTATTGGTACTAATAAGAACATTATACTAGAGTTTTAATAAACTGAGTTCAATATTCTCCTTTTTTACGTATACTGTACTAAAAACAAACTTTTTTTCCTAAAGAAAGTTGTTTTATATATTATCCTTACATTTATATGACTTGAAAAAAAAAAAATACTGTTTCAGAATTTTATTTAATATAAGTATTGGTATTTTAAATATGTTTGTTTATTTGTAATTAAGCATGAAGCTATACAATGGGTTAACTGTGCTATGCCCATCACGGTTATCCAGACCCGGTTTTTAACGTAAAAAACATTCAGACTTGCCGCTGAGCCACTGGGGGCAATTTAAATCTGAAAGGCACCTTATACGACACATAAGTTAAACGGCCGAATCACAGACCCCAAAGATCAGACCTAGCCGCCTCTGATTTAGAGCTGCTGCTCAGAGGAAGGGCGACCATTCAGCCCTCACAGGTACTCTTAACCAAATAGCGAGATTGACGATCTCGGCTGTAAAGCTTCCACAGCTCAAACAACAGACATTACAGTTCAAATATTGTATCTGCCAATCCGTAGCTCAGCACGCTAATCACTAAGCCAAGCCCGGTCTATTGAGCAAAAAAATCATTGTGCTCCAGACAGAAACGTAGTAACATTTATTGTAATCAGCGTCAGATATGGTGGAAAACGTCTGGTTATTTCGTTAATTTCAATTTCTAAATATTTAAATGCTATAATACGGGCAGATAGAGAGGTTCCAGGGGGGGGGGAGGTACATTTTCTTAGGAATGAACGCTATTACACCGTACTGCAGACTGATAAAATACATAGAGGAATAAAGCAAACATCCTGGTATTTTTTTATTTACCTTTCATAGAAATTGGTCACATATGGTAAAGAAAAGAGGATGAAAATATGTTGGTACTTTTGATCGTTGGTCTACCAGAAAGCGAACAGACGCATCACACAAAATAAATAATGCAAAAATCCCTATGCTTCTGAATACGTGGACAAATGCACCGAAATTTTTTATTTCTCTGATGCTATCTTAACAGATCTCTCGGTACAGCTGGAGTTGAAGGTTAGATTAAGGGCGCGTAGGATAGAAGGGCTACGTGTGTTTTCTTCCAGTTTACTCCTGATCCAGTGCGCAGTTTCTAAATAATGATAAAGGAGAAAATATTTTGAGTTATACATTTTCAGTTGAAGGTCAAGTCAAATAATTTTGGTTTTCGGCTGGGGCAAGTACAGCGTCTGCTATTCAGTTTTGAATTTTTGTTCAGTCAGTTGACTTTGAAACTTTATCAGCCACACTGTTGCAAGACTTATAATACTCATCAGCGAGATAAATTTCCAACAATTATTACAAACCAAAATCTCGATCACAAAAGAAAAGCATCCAAGTTTGGAATAAATCCCTATTTACTGCCTAGAACGTTATTTCAAGGATTATTGTTCTGCCGAGCCAGTCCAGTTTTTGGTCCTACTTCAATGTTTCGATTCAAAGTACTTAGTAGTTTGTCTACTATGATCACACTCATCTGAGTTGTTCTGTCTAAACACATTTTTTTCTGACTTGCATTCCATGACTGAGGCTCTTAATTTTTTCCACCATCTTATTTTTTTACTCTTCGTTGTTCTCTCTTCTTCTCTTGATTTTAAAGGTCTATTTCAAGCACAATTTAAGTATTTAATCTAAGGTAGTCATTAGAAATCAGCTCTCACTAGTACTGCTCTGTAGAAACAACTGTGCTGTAGTAGTTTCGTATGGTGTTTCTCACACCACCAAATTCAACTGTGCTGTAAAATTATACCATATTCTATAAACTGGCATTTTTATACAACCACCAGGTGTCCGTAGTTTCTGAAGATCAGTATTCGCTCGTTCAGATAATGACTTGCCTTGAGATACTCCTCATGTCTTCTTTTTCAACTATGATAAATAAACTGTTCCAAAAAGCGATTTCTTTAACTCTGTTTCACGTCACTAAAGTCGAAATGCTTTTGATATACTGACTTTTATTACCAACTGTATAAGATCCATATTCAGGTTGCCAGAGGCGCACAGAAACTTCAAGGCATCATCTATACATTCAGAATGTTTCAACTAATCTTTACCTACTTTCATCTTATCATCCTAATAGATAGGAGGCACCACTGTCCTTCCCATAAGCCATTGTGTTTTTTTTTTCAGCCATTTACAGTCAACATATTACATGCTACTTATTCAATCAGCAAGTAGTCTTTTAAACATTGTTGTTTTCTGACACATTAAGCAAGTATGTGACTAGCTTGAACTATTCTTGTTTTAAGCACATTTTGGTCCTAGTATTAAGATACGTTATTCTATATTTGTCCAAGTTAACATTACTATGTTTAGGTTTGACATAAATGAGAATATAAATCGCATTATCACTTTATATTTACCATATTTTGTAACTTTTAAATACAGAAGAACAACAACATTATAAAGGAAATCATTTAAATATTATATTGATTACTTTTCGAAGTTACGAATTCGCAATTTTTTCATATTTAGTCAAATGTTTGCTTGTTGTTTCTAAGAATCTGCGTGCCAAGCTACAAAATGGCTATCATGCTTAACCTCCCACAATCTTACACTCGTACATTAAATAGAAGACAACTAATCAAGAGTACCCATTGCAAACTCTTGGGATACTCTTGTCTGACTGAATAGTGGGATTTGATCGTAACTATTACAGCTTACTTACAGCCTCAAACTGTGGAGCTCGTTTTTGTAGCTACGAGAAGCGTAGGATCAAGAACGTTTAACTACACAGTCCGGGCATTCTAGTCATTATACCACACCCTGCCCTGGCTGAGTTATATGAACAAATCCTACTAATTTTAATAATACTTAGGACAGGTGGTTAGGGTGCTCGACTCGCAATCTGTGGGTAGCGGGTTCGACACCCCGTCACACCAAACATGCTCGCCCTTTCAGCCGTGGAAGCGTTATAATGTGACGGCCAATCCAACTATTCGTTGGTAAAAGAGTAGCTCCAAGAGTTGGCGGTGAGTGGTGATGACTAGCTGCCTTCCTTCTAGTCCTACACTGCTAAATTAGGGACGGCTAGCGCAGATAGCCCTCGTGTAGCTAACCTAACCTAATAATACTTGACGATTTATGAAAAAAGGCTTAATACAGAGTTCTCAAACTATGGACTTTGAAGATAAAAATATTTATCACTCTTCTTGTTAAATTACGTTTTTTTATTTTAATAATTCTTTTTAATATTTAACGTAGCTGGTGATACAAGTATAGTACAGTTTGAATTTGTTTGTTTGTTTGTTATTAAGCACAAAGCTACATAAAGGGCTATCTGTGCTCTGACCATCACAGGTATTGAAACCCAGTTTCTAGAAGTATAAGTCAGCAGACATACCACTGTGCCACTGGGATAGAACCATGCCACTGGTGTTCTCTACCCACCATGGGTATCGAAACCCGGTTTCTGGCAGTATAAGTGCGCATACATACCACTGTACCACTGGGGGGGGGGGGGCAGTTAAGTTTGAGAAATTCTGCTTGGCTTAATCACTAATTTGTTCCTGTCCGGCCTGATCAGTCTTCGTATCCTTAGTTATATGTAAGCAGCATTTCTGTTCATCTTTCAATACATAACAGTGTCCAGGAGCGAGAAAATACCCTAAAAATACAGCTTACAGAATTTGCTGACCTCTTGCAAATGAAAGGCAAACTAGCTAAGTGATATTTGAAATTGTGCTTGTTAGTTCAGTATTTATGTTTTGATATTCTACGTCACTTCCAAAACTGCCAAGATTTTTTCTCCTCAAACATTATTCTAAGAACTTCTTAGTG